TTTTGTGCTTCGCACACGGGAGTCAAAAACCTACCTCAATATTTGGTCTGTATTTTGCAAGACGCTCAGATCGGCATGGTGCTCCAGTCTTGATTTGTCCTGTACACAGACCAACCACCAGATCAGCAATGAAAGTATCTTCAGTTTCACCACTACGATGACTCACCATCACACCCCAGTCATTTTCTTGGGACAACTTACAGCTGCATAAGAAGAAAGCATGTTTAAATATGGTAAACTAACTTCCAAAATCACCATACATCTAAATTGTGAAGAGTAATTCAATATTTTTGCAGATTCATATTTATAAATAAATCAAATTAACAAGCATACAGTTTATAACATTTTTATTTTCCTCAAGACAAACTCATTTGATTTTGATCTGAAAAAAGATGCAAAATGTACAAGTTGGTGATCCATAATCCATTTAAGACCATTTTAATGAAGTAGCCTTGAATCCAGCCATTCAGAGTGTCCTTCCCAGTGCACTCAAGAATAGTCTTGTGAATTGTTGAATGAATGTGTAAACAGCACTGAATTCTGGGTCATCACTGATTGACTGTCTCTCTGACTTCAGTACATTACCATGGAAACTCTCACACAGACTGACTTGTAAGCAAGGCTGCCCACAACCCTCCTGACTGATTAACTAAATTAACTATGAATTCTGGGTTGTCACTGATTGGCTGTCTCTCTGACTTCAGTATATTACTATGGGAACTCACTTGCGATAATAGACAGCAAGCATCTAGTCTACTTGGAGAGTCACTATACCCATGTTTGACTGGGTGAGATTTGCAAATAGATTTATGTTAATACATACGCTTGGATAGATTCAGTAACAGTACCAATCTGGTTGACCTTCAGAAGTAGACAATTACAAGACTTCTTATCAATAGCTGTCTGGATACGCTTGGGGTTAGTCACAGTCAAGTCATCACCAACAAGCTGGATTGTCACATTAGATTGGAACTTGCTCCATGCAGCCCAGTCATCTTGATCAAATGCATCCTCGATGGAGACGACTGAAATTCAAATAGAAAAGGAAATTTTACACCTCTAGAAAAACAAATGTGACTGAACAATTTATATTATTAATGAGAGCGTATTGTGAAAGAAAAGAAAGTTACACATATGTAATTTTGAAATATCACAAGGTTTCAGGTTATATCGGGGGGGGGGGGGTCTACTACTTTTCACCGCAATAAGGGGAGGTCAACAGAAAATTAATTTGATCATAGATTTATTGTTTGCATCTCAATTCAATTTTGAGATATCATAAATTGGCTAATTAGATAGTCAATATGCACAATTTTCAAAATTTAACACTAGTCACATCTGTATTACCCCAGAGCATCTATGTACACAATTTCATTGAAATTTGATGATACATGTAATACATAATACATGTATGTAAATCAGATAATTAGGAACTTAAGTGTCAATCTAAAATCAAAACTAATTGAGTCGTTAGCTTTGCACTGTACACCAAGTTTTATGGAAATACAATTCATTTTCGAGATATAGGTGGAAAATTGGTAAATTATTATGCAAATTAGGTAATTAATACATACAGATTTCAACCCTAAACTAAGTATGTGCATTGTTGTATTTGTTTGTACCAAGAATCATTGACACAAAATTAGTATTTGAGATGGGTAAAAATCGGCACAAAATTTATGAATTATTCTGCAATTTAGGTAAATACCAGTAATTTTCATTGAAATCTGACCAGCAGTTTCTTAGATAATCTGTGGAACAGACTTGCATACACAGACAGGGTAACTGCAGAAATTGCCATTGTGGGCTTTGCACAAGAAGTCAACGATACAATGCAACAGAGGAGATGTGTGCCTTCTGTTTAATGCATCTGCATATACAAGGGTGAATTTTGGGTTTTTATAGACCATCTGTAAAGATTTCCATTGTGTGCTTTGCACACTGAGTCAAAAAAAATGTGAGCAACTTCTATTATAGATTTTACTGTAGTATTTACAACCAAAAACTAAGTTTATTTTTAGTTGCAGTGCCTATGACGGTAATTGAAAACACTTTCCAAAAAAATGGTCATGGTTTAAGCTCTTTCTGATCATATCATATGAGCCACCATGTCTGAGCAGACAACTGTATAATGAAGAACACTGATGCATGGGACATTGAAGAAAAAACAAATGACATGTAAATAAATTTTACTAATTATTAATTTCTTACTTGGATATCCCCCAATCATTTCAAGGTAAAGGTCAGCAAGTCCATCTGGAGTAAGCTGTGAAAAAAACGCAAAATTATTATTTAAATTACCCACAATGACATTCAACCATGATGGCCAATGAGCATGTGTACCAGGGATTTTTTTAAATGAGGGAACAGGGGTGCAGCGCCCTCATGCCATGGCCATGTGCCCCCTTACCCTGGGGAGCAGGATCCTCTGGCAACCATAAAATTCTGATTGACCAGTGATCACATGTGGCCAAAGTCTTTAACTGTGATCTGTCTGATAGTAATTTTGGCCCCAAGGAAGCCATAGAATGCTCTCTTTTAACTTAGAATTATTAAAAACTCCACACTCTGGTAGGGAGAACCCTATCTCCCCCACTTGGTGCCACTGAATTGCAGTGCTCCCTCTTGCAGTTTTTTTTCTAGGAAAAATCCTTGTGTACCGTTTGGAAAGCAAAGCTAGAATAAATCAAATTATCTTGTATGGATTATCTTGCATCATGATTGTACATTTGGATTGCCTAAACAATTGCAAACTGATGGAAGCCATATTTATTACCAATTCTATTTATCAGACTTGAACAAGTTAGCACTTTGATACAAGATCAGCGACCGAAATGAATGCAAATGGTACCTTAAAATCTGTATTAGATGCTGCATCCCTAATAGAAATCGCACACATTCATCTTGAACAATTGGGAACCAAAAATTCACCATTTCTTATATGTGTAGATGCTCTAATAGAAGCCGCATCTCCTGTGTTGTGTTGTATTGTACAATTTTAATAGAAGCCGCAGCTTCTAATACAGATTTTACAGTAATATATACAAGAAAAATCGAGTCACATGTAAATTTCAATTATAACACAGAAATATTATATTGCTTTTTCCCCAAAAATTCAAGTCAAAGAAGAAGAAATAACATTGTAGCCCCAATTTGAACAAGTCATTGTCAATGACGCGTCACCGTTCCGTTCATATTTGAGTGACATATACATTCAACGAGATCATGATCGAAATGCACCTGCATATGTACAACAC